AGGAGCCAATAGGTTCGCGTTCTCTTTCAAAAGCCAGGCGGGCACGAAGTAAGGCCCAGAAGCTTTGGCAGGATTAAGAGCGACGAGCTTCTTCAAGACACTGAACTCAGTAACCGTTGGCGTTTCGGTGTATTGCACAGACAGACAGACAGACAGACATCTATATTTATACAGGATAGCCCCTTCAGTGTAGTAAACACTGGTATCAACGGGGGTCCTGTTACCCACCTAACCCACCCCAGGGAGGACATCCATCACACAGTAATCTCGTGCGTGGGAAATTAACGTCTCCTACCCCAACCCTGCAGGAGACGGGACCTCCATTTATTCGTCCCTATCCGAGAAGACTAGAATATCTAACCATTTCTTGATGTTAAAGAAAGGAAGCATATTCTTCTCAGTTAATTTTAAGACCCTAAGTGTTGGTCCGGCCGGTATTGAGCTCTCGACCTCCCGCACAGCAGTCCGGCGCTCTCCCAATTGAGCTAACCAGGCGGCGGTATACCTTTTAGTATGAAACAAGTCTCAAAAAACGGAAACGCTATAAAATAAGGAAGATTTTTGCAATTAACAGGCGAAATTGAAAGAAGCATAGGTAATCATTGGAGCCCAGAAGATTGGGGAACCATGAGGCTTTCGAGCTAGCCCCTATAAATCAATACTATATTACTATGTGCTATTATTATTGCTAATGTAATTATTATTTGTTATCATTTAATTATTGGTTGAATGCCAATGAGACAGTATATTCTTCATCATCTTTCTCTTGTAGGACGGAGTACTCATAAATGTGTGGTAGGCGGCAGGTTTTCTATTTTGCTTGTGAAACAAAATTTTCTACAACACTTCGTTTTTGCGTCATTATACAACCTCTATTTTTTTTTTTTTTTTTAATGCTGTAAAAATTGTGCTATACGAGTAGCCACATGCGGTCTTTGACAGTCTAGTTTTCTACTTAGTGCTCTTCATAAAGGTTTACAGTCAAGTCACCCGAGAGTCATCTCGAACCATTAGGGAGTCATCTCGAACCATTAGGGAGTCATCTCGAACCATTAGGGAGTCATCTCGAACCATTAGGGAGTCATCTCGAAGCGTTGGAATCGTTACTCAAACGTATTTCAATTCTTATAATAGGATCGATTAATGTCGTCGAATTCATCATGGTATTGTTAAAAACTAAGATAAAGTTTTTAAGGGTACGAAAAGTCCGTGAGTACGAAACTAACCGAACAACACTTCATTTTGTTGTTAGAAAAGAGCAACGCTTCCCTTTGTTGTAAGGAACGAACAAGGCTATTTGAATCTTCATGGTGTTGTCGGAGACAAGGAGCGCTTTAGGAATGAAGATTTCTCAACTTTCTTGCCTATTTACAGACTGTAAGTCTGATCTTTCAGGTGAATAAAGGGTGAAAGTTTCTAAAAAAACTGTGGTGCTACGTCGGTGGGGGCAACAAGGCAATTTGGTTATATCACGCAGGTTGAAATAGTAAATTGGCCACCGTAACGAGTTAAAAAGCTGACGTTTCGAGCGTTAGCCCTTGGTCAGAGCGAATGGAGGAATTGTGGGTTGTGTGTGGGTTTATATGGAGAAAGTGGAGCTACGCTATCGGTGGGAACATGACGACGAGAAATACACAAACAAATTAGTAGAATAAAAAGCGTTCATTGATACCTATGGAATCAAGAGTGCCGATTTGAAGGATGAACTTTTGTTCAAGAGTTTTGCGGCTTTCCGAGCTACCTAAATGTAAGGAAAGACCTCAGATCTTAGAAACTGAGAAAAGGGAATGGAATTCTCAATGTGAGATGGATGCGAAGATGAATACAACAAGTAACTGTGCGAGTCTGTGGGTTTGTAATACACACAAGTGCATAGACCGTTGCCTTCAATTGAAACTTTGATGTCTAAAAAGGATAAAGAATCGTCGGAAATTTGCCAGGTATTTTTTAGAGCCGGGTGAAAGGAATTGACTGCGGTTATGAATTGAGTTAGCTCCTCTCTGGTAGAGGAGGTAGCGCCGATACAGTCGTCAATGTAGCGACCGTAGGGTTCAGGTTTGGGGCCATTATATTGGCTAAAAAATCTGTGTACGACTAAACCTACTAAAAGTTTGGCGTAGCTGGGTCCCATTTTGGTACCCATGGCTGCGCCATAGGTTTGTTTGAAAAAGTCGTCCCCGAATGAAGTGAATGAAAAGCAATTGAGTGTGAGCACTAGTTCAGCTAAGCAAACTAATGTTTCAGATTTAGGTTCTTTAACAGTATGTTGATCAAAAAGATGTTTGAGGGCCAGAAGACCTTCGCCATTGGGAATGTACAGGTATTTGTTTCTTCGGGCGACTTGACTTTTTTCGGGCGACATGACTAAAATTTCGGGCAACATGACTCAGGTTTCTGGCGAGATGACTTCGGGCGACATGATTCATGGGCGACTTGACCGGTTTAAAATTTAAACTTTAATGATAAATACTACCGAAAAAAGGTTTTCAATACCTATCTACAAATATGAATGCTAACTATATCTGACAAGCTATTGTTAAATTCTAAATTCTTCACTATTTACCTTCATAAATAGTTTCTAATAATGAACTTTGTCGTTTGTCACTCGATGTCGTCACTTCCAATGTCGATCAAGACTTTTGGACGGTTAGTGTTAGTCCTCTTTGAGCGATGAGGTCTACCTGTTCTGTTTCCAGATGAAGTTTAATCTGCAGCTGCGATTGATTGTTTTTCAACATCAATGTTTACCACCCTTAGATCTGGTGTGTTTCCTAGGCGGTTCGCTGCTGTTGAAGGGTCCTTTTTTTGTTATTGATTTTGGCAATCTCTGCCTCTGGGATTTACCGGTAAGTGGTTTCGATAGAGTAGACTTGCGAGTCTCTTGCAAGTCATTGAATTGTAATGTTGTCCACAGCCAAGCTAACTCTGGTTGTGGTTCGTATTTGTAGTGGGCTGGTTTGCATACAGGAAACTGCAAGTTGGCACGCTTAGCGGCTGTGGAGTGATAATTAAAAGCGGTTCTCTTGAGTATACTTCTGCATGTCATTTCGGTATTTCTGGATCTTAACAAAGCTTTTAACCTAATAAGTCACGAAATCTTGCTATTTAAGATTGCTAAATACCACGCCAGCCAACCAAACTTGAGGTCATCGAACTCAGACTTGGGCTATTTCGGGAGTATTATCTGACTCACTTATATATTACGTTGACATACGGCGTTCTACAGGGATCGATTTCGGGCCCGGTGCTATTTTCACTTTATATAAATGATCTGCCTCTGTGTTTACCAGCTTCGGAAGTCGAAATACATACCGATGGTACAACCTCATGGACTTCCAATCACTCCGTCAATCATATCCAACAAAATTTACCAAACAGTCTAAACAACGCCAGCAGTTGGTTTGCATCAAATCAAATGGTTACTAACGCGTGCGCGCACACACATACACACACACACACACACACACACACACACACACGCACACACACACAAACAAAACAAAACACCACTTATCGACACATGACAAACTGCAACATGTGTATCAGTCAACTTCAGATCGTTACTTGAATGGCTACCGCGTAGAAGGAGCCAAGGATGAAAAACTCTTGGCTGTTAAGATTAATAATCACCTTAGCTGGCATAAGCATATAGTACACTATTTTGTATATTTTTCTCTTCAAGATGATTTGTACATTATTTTCACATTTTTCTTTTCTACATGATTTTTATGACCCATCCTACAACACCCAGAGGGTTTGGTCAAAGGGCCATGATTACCCATTGTCCAGTCGTGACACACTGTCGCTCAGTTCTTTGCGAGGATTGTTACTTTCCCTTTAAACACATTGGTGCTATTTAATAGAGCAACATTTTTAAATTCCGGTGAAAGAACGCTAAACGCACGCTTGGACGCCA